ATGCGCGTGCACGAGCGCGCGCTAATGACGCCATAAATTATGCGCAGTAAGGATGCGCAATGCAAATGTGAGGAATGACCTTAAGCAATACCACTTTTTTTCTCGAGTGAGGGGGAGTGGTGTGATGGTCAACTAGAGAAAGACACTTGATTAACCACCGAGGAGTACAAATCTGGTCCAGCTTAATTTTTAGGGCACCCTATCGGGTTAGCTGCGATGGACTAGGATCCCAACGTATCATAAACAACCGGTCAGTGGCTGAAAAAATATATGATTTTGTATCTTCACCATCTACGGGTATATTACGAACTCACAACGTAACCAGCTTCCAGTTGGCTTGATAGCTCAGTTGGTAGAGCACTGCACCGGTATCGCAGAGGTCATAGGTTCAAATCCTGTTCAAGCCTGGATTTTTTTCAGGCTCTGGTTATGTTGTGTGTAAAACTGCGATGATCAATCTTGTCTTCATATCTTTCTCCGCAGCTCAAATATATGATCTTTCATAGGCACTTGTACTGTCATGTTCATTTTCACAATTTTCGTGCTCGCTTAAAATCTGACGCTCCTCTTTGATCTCTTTTTCAGGTCGCCCCGGCTGAGCTCGAAGCGTTGCTGATTTCTCATCTGAACATCGATGACGCTGCCGTGATTGGTGTCCCGGATGAGAAGAGCGGCGAGTTGCCGAAAGCGTTTGTGGTCCCCAAGGGAGAAATCAGCCCAGAAGACGTTGTTGACTTTGTAGCGGAGAGAGTTGCGCCTCACAAGAAACTGAGAGGCGGCGTGGAATTTGTTGACAAGATTCCGAAGTCAGCAAGTGGCAAGATTTTACGGAAGGACTTAAGAAAAAGAGAACTTGAGCGTACTAAGCAGTCGTAGAGAATGTTTCATTGGATTTAAGCCCATTGTATGCACAAATAGATGGAATGAGTGAAATAAATAGGACTGGTTTCTTATGTTTTCTGCGAATCTATTTTAGCCTTAACTATAGCCTATTTATTTTGCTCTATTTGCAGTCGTTTCCAGAGTGTGGTTCTCATCCGGCCCCCCTTCTGGAATCACAACACCCCTAGAAATCGAGCGTTAATTACCTAACCTCGAGTCCCTACAATTAATTACCTTAATTTCCCACAAGACCTGTTCCACATGGTTCCGGCACGGAGTCGGACCGGACCAGGGGCTTGTTTCTCGAAGGTCCCGAAAGGTTTTCGCGCCCGGAAAGCCACAGCAAAATCTCAAACCTTATGATATACAGAGCTGTTTAATTCGCATATTCTTAACATAAACAGAGGTTCTCTTCATACAAGAAGTTTCAGGCTTGTGCACCTCTTTGTTTTTAAATACAGATTAACTAAAAATGGCTTTGCGGGCCAGATAAGTGTCCGGGGCTTTCGAGAAACGGGCCCCAGGTCCGTATTGAGACATATCCTTTGATGAGTATATGTTGACACAGGACCGGTACGGTACAGATCTACAATTTTTTTCAGTTTTGAAACCTATTGCATCCAGACATTCATGAAGTTATCTTTTAGCAAAAACGCTGCAATTGTCATTATTAAGAGTAATTTAAATTGTTGTGTGTTGTGAAGTTAAATCATATTTCAGATAAATTTGTCTCGTTTCGTTTTGTAGCTTTATTACTTTGTATTGTTTATGTTTTGGTGGGGGAGGCGGGGGGTGGCCCCCCCCCCACGCAAATTCGCACGCGCGGACTCTTTTTTGATATTTTGTCATAAACCGAAGAGATTGTGAGAGCGTTGATAAGCGGGCCTTAGTTGCTAAAAAGAAGCATTTTACTTCGTGGAGAGGATGGCAAAACGTTTTTTCATTATTATTGTTTAATTTTATTTTCATTTTTTTTTTTTACCAGGCGTAATTGAGCTGCCTTTTATACACTATTTAATCATAGTTAATAGAGGGTAATGGAAGGGAAACTTCACAAAGTTCTTTCTTATGTGTTTTTGTTGGCTATTTTGAGGGTTGGCACTGCACAAATCTGGCAAAATATAAAGGGTGGTTATGTGTGCTAAAACAACTTACCTGTAGAAGCATTGCAATTATGTAATTCATGCATTGTCAATGAGCATAAAACAAAAGATGTGCAGGGTCAAGGACCTTACAGCATAAATCTTAGCCTGTTTGTTAGCTTCTTTGATGTTTACCGGCCTTCCTAACCATTTCCATCTTTCAACTATGATTTAATTATGCGCCTTTCAATAACATTTGTCGGTTGAGCTTTGAATGTTAGAGTCTGCATGTTATTGAAAGGCGCAGTAAGAACGTTAGTCCCCATTGTTTCTGTACATCCCACACTTAGTTCAGTGCTTCGTGTCACAACGTCACGCCACATCTTTTATTCTTCTTTTATTGCTCAGATCATCTGAAAATGACGAAAGCATGGTCTTCAATACGTCTTATCTCTAAAACGTACACGGTGGCCTCCCATGTTTTGTTTGGTTTGGTTTGCCTTTTTTTTTTTTTCTTTTTTTGGCAAAAGTTAATCTTCAACCCAATGCATAGCAAGTTAAGTTTTAAAAAAAATCCTGCACTTGGGAATATTTTGGGTGGGAAAGTCCTTATTACATGAAACATGATTCCGTTTATCGCGGCCGCGAGTCCGTGATTTTCCATTTGTAAAAATTTTCCGCTCAATGAGCAGTTACGTAATGAATGCTGGATTTTTCCAGGTCTCAGAATGTTGTTACAACGCGGGCGCAACCTCATCGAACAGGACACTTCGAAAGACCGCCTAATAACGTTCCATTCGTTCCAAAACAGATCAGATTTGTAGACAAGTAGAGACAGATCACCATCTCAACACGCACGCATTTACTGATTTGAGTTTCAAAATTTGCACCTGAAAGTTAGAGGTAAGAAGGGAGTTTTCATAAGTGGTTTATAGATTATTTCAGGCCGTATCAATGCATTTAATGGCATCGCGCAGGTTCTGTTCTGCATACCAATGTTGACATCACAAATGTCCTTGTTCCACTTTTGACCTCTGTAACGGATAAAGAGAAGGTGAGGCTTATACGACATCGAACTATAACAAGCCACAGAACAGCAGGCTGTGTTTTACTGTTTCTTTCTCGCTATCTCTTCTTCCGTAGTGTTTTACTCGGGCTTTCCAAACATCTTCGCAAAAGTCTTATCATTTCTGCCTGTCACGTTCTAAACAAACATTAGGCGGATCGTCACGCAATCTTTCTCAGGTTCTTCAGTAGTTATTATCTTTTCCGATTTTCAATTAGGTTTGAAGAGATGAAGCTGAGGAGAATCGTTTTTATGACGTTCCTTGTCCGTGCTTGCTGTAAGTATCCTAACACTTCGTTTAATTTTTTTTTCGATGAGTGATTAAATAAACGAGTTTTAGCACAGAACCGTAGCCTCATTCACGGTAACCAGGCCCCAGGTTGTTCGAAGGCTCGATAACGTTGTCCACTGGATAAATCGCTATCCAGTGGATAAGTGTTAGCAAAACAAACCCTTCGAACAACCCAGACCAGTTCGGTATTCATTCTGCCCACAGCCGTTAGCTCGCACAAGTAATTACTCCGCGACGTTTCCCGTTCTCTAGGACTGTACGTGGATTGTTTGTTGAAGTTATCAGACGATTTTGGACATGTTGCTGTCAAAGCGTACTCTAAATCTAAGGCACTGCTCTGTTATTTGTGGGAGGTGCGGTGGCCTCATGGTTAGTGCTCTCGTCCCCTGAGCGGTTCGGGTTCGAACCCTGGTCAGGAACATTGTGTTGTGTTCTTGGGCAAAACACTTAAATTCCACAGTGCCTCTCTACACCCAGGTGTACAAATGGGTACCGGCGAACGTAATGCTGGGGGTAACCCTGCGATGGACTACCATCTCATCCGGGGGGGAGTAGAAATGCTCCTAGTCACTTCATGCTACAGAGACCGGATTAAGCTCCGGCCTGATAGGCCACTTGGTTCGTATGCAGACTTTACCTACCTCAGTTATTTCCACAGTAGAATTCTGGACAGCTCGAAACAATTGCTTTGATTGTCTTATGTGTTGCTGCAGGTACTGCGTCAGTCCTTTGTTATCGGGAAATTCAGGATCTCTGAAAAAATCCCTTACCCAGTCTTTCTTCCATCCCTTGTCTTTTTATCCTTTCATGTTTCATACATTCATTCATTCATTCATTCATTCATTCATTCAGTCATTCAGTCATTCGTTCATCATTCATTCATCTATTTGTTGGTGTTCTAAGCAAGCTTGTAGTCTCACTAAGACTATTCTTTGTTCCATTGTGTGTCGGTTGTTGCCTGTACAAGTCATTTCACGTATCTATCTGAAAAAAAAAAACGAAACATATGATGTGCATTATCTTTTTATAACCAGCAGCCTTCACGACGACTCCAGCCCCAACAACCTCAGATCTGACTCTTTCTCCGGGTAAGTGATATGCTGGGATGCTATGAAAGATTTATTTATTTTTTAATTTTCAAAATTTCTTTCATTGTTCCAAGTTCCAAGTACATTAGTGCCGTGGCTTTTTCAGTGTATTTATTTCGTTTCTTTTTTTTTTATTTTAGAAAGTCGGAATGTTTTATCGAATATTCAAAAAAACAAAGCATACTGTAAAGAAGACCACCAATAAACTACAAGACATTGAAAATGTAAACAATACAAACTGAAAGTAATACAAACAATACAATTCTGTTCAAATTCTGAAACAAAATAAAATAGGTCATGTTAAGGTGGCTCAAAACAGTTACCAGCACTTATATTTTGATGGGTCGTTGTAACCACTCTTTACCACTTGATGCTACAATCATGGTATCAAAAAACTGCCCAATTATTGGTGAACACGTTGTTATCATTTTCGTGACACAATAGGTTACCATAGCAACAGTATGACCTCCTAAAAACACCCTTAATTACAGTTTTAGGGACTTATATTTCAAAAAACGGCATGGTGAAATTTTTTTATATCATCAACTTTTGATAAGCATGATAACTGATAGCTTTTCAAAAATTTAAGGTGGCTCTGAACGCCATGTACACAATTTTTTAAACTTTGGCAAAAGTTGCGTATTATCATGCTTATCAAATGTTGATAATATACAAAAATTTCGCCGTGCTGTGTTTGAATTATAACAACCTAAAGCTGTAGTTAAGGGTGTTTTTAGGAGGTCATACTGTTGCTATGGTAACCTATTGTGTCACGGAAATGATAACAACGTGTTCACCAATGATTGGGTAGTTTTTTGATATCACTATTGTAGCATCAAGTGATAAAGAGTGGTTATAACGACCCATCAAAATCTAAGTGTGGGAAACTGTTTTGAGCCACCTTAAAAACTCTAATTTTGTTATGGATATGCAGTTACCTGAAAAAACAAAGGGCAGCTGGAATTATAATCACACCAAGAAGTCGAGTGAATCCGGTTGTTTTCGGGAGTCATCGGGAATATTTCCTGTGATTCCGACATCAATCGTTCGGAATCCTTCAGTAATCCTCGGAACATCTTCATTTTCTTTGGCAACATTGAATAGTCTTTGAGTAATGTTTGGGTTTATAGGATTTTCCCCGGTTACCGAAGTGATCCTGATGTCGACAGCCAGCAAAAATAAACCATAAGGCGATCTGTCTGTCTGTCTGTTTGTCTGTCCGTTTGTCTGTCCGTTTGTCTGTCTGTCTGTCTGTCTTTCTATCTGTCTTTCTGCCTGTCTGTTATTTTGCCTGTCTGTCTGTATATCTGTCTGTCTGTCTGTCTGTCTATCTGTCTGTCTATCTGTCTGTGTTTCCGCTATTCGGCTATCTATTTTACATTAAAGTTTCTCAAAATCATTGATAATTCATCAAGTTTAAACAAAGGAAATCATGACCGTGTCGATGTTTGGATATCTGATCTTAATTAGCATAGATTTTTACGATTTTAATTCTCCGTTTTCTCCTTAGTTTTAGTTTGGATTGAGAAGATATTTCAAACACTGCAGACAGTGTTTGACCACATTTCCAAACACCTCGAAGTTCGTCAAAAATACTCCGCTGCGCGTCGTATTCCCAACTCTCTTCTCGGTGTTTGGAAATGTGGTCAAACACTGTCTTTCGCGTTTGATATATTACATGAAATCTTTCGTAGAATGTTCCAACTACAAATTCCTCAACGAGTCAGACAGAGCACAGACATACAACAAAAGCAGTCCTGTCCTTTGTGATGCAACGACTCAGGGCTGGTACAGGTTCGGTGGAGGGGCTGGAAACCAAATGCCTGAATCCTGTGTCAACAAGGGGCACTGTGGTACACAAGGGCCGGGCTGGCTCAACGGAAGTCACCCATCTGTGGATGAAGGAGCAGTCACGCTCAAAGTTTGTTTTAATTGGCGAAGTTTCTGCTGTCTATTTGAGACTTACATCACAGTACGCAATTGTGGAGGGTTCTTCGTGTACAGACTTAGACCAGCGCTTATTTGTGACTCGCGTTACTGTGGCAACGGATTGACGCCAACAGCAGGTAGTAACGCAATCTTCCCTACAGTCACGCTTTGCCGTAAAGGGTGTAAAGATGAGATGAAATAAACCGTGTGCCCCATGCCAAAAAATTCCGTAGAATTACTTGTTTCGACGGAAACATGACAAAATGTGTGAATACGGCAAAACGGGCAATGAATTGTTTGCGCAAAACGATTTTTTTGCAGGGAGGGAGCCTCTGTTAGACCAGCATCCCAAAGAGAAAAAGTAACAGTAATCAACCAAGCGCGAAGGCCGTACGTCTTGACAGGTCCGTACCAAAAAGACCAAGGGCCGATACGTGTATTCTCCACGTTTGGACCCGAGCAAGTTTGGTAAATAAGAAATTTATTACCCAAAACTACCCGAAAATCTTCAAGAGTGATTTCTCGGGATCATTCGGGGCAGTGCCTGGTCCAATACTTACAATGGAGCAATCTGATTGGTTGATTTCAGTTATTGGCCCTCTGAACTAACTTTAATAAGTACTGCTTATCGCCCGGTTGGGCCTCCCGTTCAAACATGCCGACCGCAATCGTGAAATGGTCTGGCCGGTAAGAAGGAGTTCTACTGTGGTTTCAGACCTCCTGGCAAGGGAAAGCAACCTACTAATTGAATTTATATTTCCTTTAGAAACAACAGAAAGGCCAACCAGAGGAACAACAGCAAGTAAGTGATCATTCTAGTTTCTCCTCACACACTGCATCAGTCTTGACTCGTAACTCATTGGCTGCCTTGATCAGAATATAATATGAAACTTCACGAGGAATGGAGGCTGTAAAAGATTTACAGTGGAATCCCGATTTCTCGAACCTTCAGGGGAAACGAAACTTGGTTCGAAAAATCGGATAGTTCGAGAAATCAGGGGTAAAATTACAGTGTTTGAGTGAGAAGGGGAAACGATTTTGGTTCGAGTTATCGGGAGGTTCCAAAAACTGAGGGTTCGAGAACTCGGGATTCCACTATATTACCAGTTCTTTGCTTAGATTTGAGGGTCATTTTGTGTTTTGTTGTGTGATTTTTCTTTCCTTGTGTTATGTCGTGTTTTGTTGTGTTTTGTTTTGTTTTGTTTTGTTGTCTTGTGCTGTATTTTGTTATGTTGTGTTTTATTGCGTTTTGTTGTTCCCTGTTGTACACTGGCGATTTATCTGGAGGAAATCATTAATATAGCCCTAATTGGAGTTCGTCATTACTCCAAGCTCGTTATATTTTAATTACTTTTTATTATTCCCAACAGTTTTTTCACATTTGCCGACAAATCTTCCAACAAAAGGTGAGGCAATTAGTTTTTGGCAAACATATTCAACCCAATTTACGTAGCTATCAATTCCCGTTAAAACAAGGAATCGTGTACTTCACTTTCAGAAAATTATAAAACTTAGAAATCTAAGAATCGTGGTTGACGAAGAGATAGATACATTAATTGGACTTTGGGTGATGTTAGCTGTCTTGTGACGAGACTCTTTCCAGTAAACTCAGATGCAGCGCCCCTCAAACGCACGCACTGGGTGTACAGTCCAGGTTTCGCGGGGCCATATTTTCCGCTCATTCAAGAACATTACTTGCAAAAAATTTCGGACGTCTTTAATTTCGGACAGAAAAGGTGTCCGAAAATAAAACCGTCCGAAATTTTTTAGCTTCCGAAACTTTAATCGTGCGAAATATTTACAATACATAATAAAACTTTTAAGTAACTCGAAAGTTCGTAGTTTCCTTTATGGAGCGACCTTTAGTTGAGACACTGCTTCAGGAGATGGGTAAACGGTTTGATACAATTTGTGTTACTTTTTCGTCCGTGTATCTGTTAAAACTTGAGAGCGGTAAAACTTTAACTTTCACAGTTGTTGTTTCAGTCTAATTCGTGTTTTGTAGAAGTAAACTTACTTTAGCTATGTTTCAGCAGTGTCCGAAATTTTTGGCCGAAACTTGGCCGAAATGAGATAATTAAAAAGCGTCCGAAAATTGAACATCCCAAATAAAACGACTGAATTTTTTTGCAAGTAATCTATGAACTCTTTCTCAGTTCTCGATTCTAAATATCAAACTTCTCCCAAATTAAACAGTCACAGTGTATGACATACACCGCGGAACATACATGTATACCTCAGTCAATACTTGTTTTTATGAACTGATCTTTTGGATAAACATCATACAGAGGAGGTGAGCTAGCTAGCTTCTTGCACGAACAGGCAAGCGAATTCTGAAGCTCGTAATTTTACCTATAAATAATCGGTAAATTTGGTAGTTAAATTACTGCACAATTGATTACGAAGACTTCCTTTGGACGAGCTTAAAGAGCGTCTGCATATACCCAGTGGCTCCGTTACACAAAAGACTTGATTCTCTGTTGCAGAATTCTCACCCATACCGTGGCGTCCATCGCTAGTGACACCGCAACGTAAGTAGGCGTAATTCTGACAATTTTAGCTGAATCCTACGTTTGTACAAAGTTTAAAGCGTAAACTTTAGCTGCCGGTCAAAATTAGTTTTGTTGCCGATACTAACTCGAAACCTTGTCTACCTTCTTCAACCTAAGTTTCGTACAAGTGAGATTATCGTTTAAAATGAGCTGAAAAACGGGAGACAGCCATTTTTGACATCCGACTTTAACAACTTGCCAGAAGACTGAACAATTTTTGCTACAGTTTATAGTTTTACAAGTTGTGAAACTTTGAATGTAGTAAGCTTGTTGGAAATTTTGAAATTCAAGCTGCCGGAAAAAGGCATTTGAATTTCTGAGCTCTGTACAATCTTGCCGAATTTCGAGCTTTTATATCCCTTAAGTGTCGAATCCAGGCGGGCGTTTGTTAACAGCAGAGTGTCTTCGATTTCCAGTTTTTACAACCCGCAAAAACTGTAAATTTAGAATACAGAATTTGTGAAATCTTGATAAGTCAAGGTACTTTGAAAGATTTCATATTGGCGAATTCTGGAATATTGAGTTCAAGTTTTTATATCCGTACTGTGAAATCTTGAATCTAAGACTTCACTTCTAAACACAACCACGTTCCCAGGATCTCTCTGTCTCCCTCGCCCCGCGAGGGTGAGAAGATTGGAGACCCTGGGAACGAGATTTTTCTAAACACAGGTCAATTTTTTCTTTTTTTCATTTCAGAGATCAAAAACGTTTTACTTTGGTAGATGTTTTTTAAATTTCTTTTCCAGTTTTTATCGTGCACATATGCGTCTTCACCCTTCGNNTTTTACGCCTTTCGTCTACACTAAAACGACTTTCGAAAACGGTTTCAAAACTGGAGCCTTTTGAAAACGCAACGTTTTGAAAACCCTCCGTTTCTAGTGTGGACAGGTGAAAACGGAGACGAAAAAAGCGTCGTATACTGTCATTTCTATCAGCGTTTTCGGGCGTTTTAATGTGGACGATAGACGAAAACGTATCAAAAAGTATGTGTTTTAAAAAACTCATTAGTGTAGAGAGGTGAAAACAAAACGAAAACGATTTTGCTTTGTTTTGGTTGAGACAAAAACGGAAACTTTTAAAAATCCATTAGGGTCGGAGCCTAAGGGTTTTCATCGTCACTTTCAGCGACTTTTGAACCGAAACCGAGATTTCTTTGAAAATCACTGAACCCAACCAACCAACCATTGACAACTACCTCCTGACCAACTAATTACGGCTTGAAAATTGTCACGATTTGTTCTTTCTATTGTTTGTAGTTATGACGACAATACATCTTCACACAATAGTTGCAGACTGGCCAGCGCCACTTTATTATAGTGGCAGAGTGAACCCAACTAACCACTGATAAGGTACCAACTAATTACCTTGCAAATTGTCACGATTATAGTTCTTTCTATTTGCTGTAGTCATGACAACAACATACCTTCACACAATAGTTGCAGACAGGCCACATTATTACCAGCAGACTGCTTTAGTGGATACGCATATTGTTTTAGAATTATCAGCGTGCAAACAGCGTTCTCCCAAGCTCTGAGGCGAAGTCTAACTTTCATGCAGACGCCAGGGTCAGGATCTGACCCTCGGACTCGGATTAGTTGATATTCTTACAAACACGCAAATCAATATGATTGGTTCATTTGATTGGTAATACTACCAGGGAAGGAATTTGTTAGCAAAATACTTTAGTTCTCAGTTTATACACGTTCAAGATTCGCCTGTGTTCGACATGAATTATGTTTCTGACAGTGTCTTCGAAGAAATTTTGATTTCGGTACTCGAGGAGCGTTTTCCAGAAATTGAAAGTATCACCGAACATCAAAAGAAAACCTTGTTCGCAGTCATAAATCACAAGGATTTGTTCGCCATACACTGCCAACTGGACATGGAAAGTCAATTATATTTCAGTTGCCCTGATGTCTGAAAATACCTGTACCTGTCAGGTTATTCATACCCTCATCATGCCACAATTTTGGTTCTGTCCTCTGGTGGACTCTCATATCCGCGAACTGCGAAACCGTGGCATTTCAGCGGCCAGTTTGCGCAGAGAAGACGTCGACGAGAACAATCTGCTCAAAGAAGCTTATGCCTTTGTATTCGGAAGTCCTGAGTCCTTCTTACAAAACGAGTAAGCTAAGTGNTAAATCTTTTGTATAATGTATATTCAGACGTCCTAACTTATCTCGACGAGATTATACTTAATCTATTTTATTTTATCTTTTACTAACTTATAATTTTTTTCTGTATATATATACATATTGTAACTATTTATTACGTGCTTTTATTATGTTATTTTCAACTCCTAGTATAGTTCCACTGTTTCAGGAGTATACTTATTAAAGATTAAAGAACACGCAAATCAATATGATTGGTTCGTTTGATTGGTAATACTACCAGGGAAGGAATTTGTTTGCAAAATACTTTAGTTCTCAGTTTATACACGTTCAAGATTCGCCTGTGCTCGACATGGATTATGTTTCTGACAGTGTCTTCGAGGAAATTTTGATCTCGGTACTCGAGGAGCGTTTTCCAGAAATTGAAAGTTTCACCGAACATCAAAAGAAAACCTTGTTCGCAGTCATAAATCGCAAGGATTTGTTCGCCATACTGCCAACTGGACATGGAAAGTCAATTATATTTCAGTTGCCCCCTGATGTCTGAAAATACCTGTACCTGTCAGGTTATTCATACCCGCATCATGCCACAATTTTGGTTTTGTCCTCTGGTGGACTCTCATATCCGCGAACTGCGAAACCGTGGCATTTCCCCTGAGCGGCCAGTTTGAGCAGTGAAGACGTCGACGAGAACAATCTGCTCAAAGAAGCTTATGCCTTTGTATTCGGAAGTCCTGAGTCCTTCTTACAAAACGAGTAAGCTAAGTGGAGAAACATGCTCCGTAGTAATGTTTAACAAGACAGAACCTTCGCGATCGTTGCGGGTGAATACATTAATTCATGCAAACAACGCGCGTTGACCCCGGCCAAGTAGGTCAAGTGATACCACTCTTCACCACCCGATTGGAAACATTAGCAGCTGATAAGCACGTGATTGCTCAGTTGCCATTGGTCCCTTTCGTAATTATCAATTTGACGCGTTTGACAGCTGGCGTCTGCATGAAAGTGAGATTCAAGTCCAAGGTAACCATTTTTCTTTCTCGCCGCCTCGCGACTCGTGTTTACCGCTTCGCGAAAAGATGAAAAATCAAGAAAAACCTCTGGGTCGACCAGAGTAATGTAACGTAAACCCAACGAAAGTGTTTACATAAGATATATCAACTCCCACAGTGTTGCTTTGGTACACGAACGTGTCCTCCGTTTCATTGTTTCGGAAGTGAAAATGCCCTGTGGCTGTTACCCCAAAGCCAAGGCAATTCAAAGTCGTGGTCGTAAACAAAATAATTGTCCTAGTTTTGGTACGCACGTCGTCTCGCATACCGACGGAACAAACATGGTTGGTGTCGAGTTACACGGTCAGTATAAAACATGCATTGTGGACTGCGGACTGCTGACTGCGGACTGCGGACTACGTACTACGGACTGGGTATAAAACACAGATTTATGTATAATATTACACAATACATGTATAAACGAGATCAAACCCTTTCGTATACACGTGCTTTGCGTTCATTTCATTTGTTTTTGCCCCTGCTGAAGGGAGACCAATTTCACGCCTACCTAACAGCTCTGGTACAAAATGCTTTCCCCAGAATTTTTTTTTTAACATACCAAGCCTACTAAAACTCGGACGCACTCATTAATCTACGATTACCACTAGTAAGAATAATTATAATAATACATTTATATAGCGCTGTTTCTCAGTGGTTCAACAACGTGACCAAATTTAATGACTGTCAAACCATAATAAAACAATAAAAAATCAGCATCCGTAGTAAGCGCTCAAGAAAAGATGCTTTTTGAGTCTAAGCTTAAAAGTGTCAACTGATATAGAATCTCTGACAGACTGGGGGAGAGTATTCCAAAGCGATGGCACAGCAACGGCAAATACCGCCCATCATAAGTGTTAAGATTATAGTTGGATTCCAAAGCAAGTTTTTAGCAGATGAAGGAAATAATCTCAAGGGATGAATATGTGAGATAGATGAATAAGTGAACTTTGGATTAAATTAAACTTCACTTATTCATGTCCGCTCCTAAAGATTATGTTGCTAGCTAGTACAGACAAGTATTTATCAAACTCCCAACCCTTTTCAG